TACTCTCACTGCAATTAATCATATGGAAGGAGATTTAGATGTTTAAACAACAGTTTGACTTCCTGAGTAGCTACAAAATCCATCCAGCAAACCATGTTGTGGGTTTTAGTATGCAAAATCAGACTTGCTATCCAGCTGAACAGATCCAGTCATAGTAGAGGGACGCTACCCAAAATCTGAAAAACAGTTTGTTAATCCGTGTAAAGAGTTGTCTAGGATTTCCTGGAGCCTTCACCTCAGACTGTTTAAGAGTCATACCTATGACAGGCATTGGAATGGGAACTGTACTGCACTTAGGTCAGTCTGTGGACAGTGTAGTAAAAAACATTGATCTTGTCTCTGACCAGGAATAAAGGTCATTGTAACACTGAAAAAACAGGTGCAAGGTACCATTTCCACAATACTGCAATAAATTATGCTTTTTTTTCCTCCGGTAATCACAGTATCATAATTTGGCGTTTCAATGACAATAAGAAAAGACTTCTTAAATTCCAAAACTGTTGGAGATCAGGTCCATAAATTTGCATAGCTTTTGTTTAACAGACCACAGAGGATTATAATCCTTTCTGAAGTTTTCTGGTTTCTGAAGATTTCCATGAAATATACGTACTAAATGACTGCCACCATAATACATCCTCTCACAAATCTCAGTATTCTCAGCACCCAAGCATGTAATTCCTACTGCAATCAGTGAAAACAAAGGGTTAAGGCTCCTTTGAAAAGTCCCAGTGTACTTCTCCATACAACATATCTAAACAAGCTTTGGACTGCTTGCATTTCAATCTCTATGGCTGCCCAAAATGCTTACAACTTAGGAAAATAGAGGTTCTGCTTCTTTTGCACATCCCATTGTATCAAAACTCTGGGTAGACCAAGGAAGGCACTACAGCTGTAGAGTTTAGTTCATGATGAGGCTCCCTGCTAGTTTCAGCCTTCATGCTGATAAATAAGATGCAGCACTCTGGTTTTCACTGAGAAGTTCAGTCTGTCAGACAGTCTTAGAGCACTCTGATTTGACTTTACACCACAGAACTCAAACTGGGGAAGGAGAGATTATAATAATTTGAATTAGATTTTAATTGTGGAGGGATTTCATCCAAAAACAACCGATAATCTAGGCCTAAATTTTCTAAACTGTTTAAGAAATACAGTATAATTTCCTTTCTCTTTGATTTTCCTTTCTTCCTCTAATCTTTCCTCTAGTTTATTCTTTTCATTACACTGTAAAATTGGCAAAGTATTTTCCTCTTTATCTCCTTCTATCTTTGTCTTTTTCTTCACCATTCCTTGTATTCTTCCCCTGGCTCTTCCTCCTTCCTTCCATTTCTCCCAGAAAGGATCATCCCACTTTGATTTATCAGACAGTAGACTGATGAGCTGCACTTACCAGCTCCTATTCCTACTGTCTATTATGCACTTTTTTCAAAATCACCCACACCAAAAATCCCTTAGATTAGTCACAAGGGCAGGGAGAAGTCTGGTACTACAGACTGTATCAAACTCCTCACTGTTGGGACACTTTTGCAAGATTTTTGACTTAACAAACTAGAAATACAAAACCAATTTGACATGTTAGGTAAATGTAGGTGCTAAGTTTGGCCTTCAAGTTGTCTTCAGAACTGTTTAGCAACATAATCAGAGTGGGAATTGAAGAAATGAGCGGAGCAGCAACTGAAAATGTGTAGTCAGATTAGATCAGAAAACTATGGGGAAAAAAATTGTCCCATGGTAATGCATGTTACTTCTTGGCAAATTACTCAGACCTACCAAAAAGCTTCTTGTGTAGGTTCATGCTGCACAACATTGCTTGCATCCCACCCTTGCTGGGACAGGCAGTAGTATGTCCCACTTATACAGGAGAGCGCAAACATTGCGACACTATGTCAAGACATCACTGCTTTGTGCTATATAAAGAACTGCCTTGCTGAGCTCTGCAAGACACAGTATGGATGACCTGGTGGGTCTGTTCATGAAGCCACAAGGGCACTAGTTTGAAAACTAAATACTAATAGTCAAAATGAGGTAAGGGCTGGTCTAGCCTCTTCTATGTTTATAAGGGACCAAGATATTTTTTTTCTTTTACTCAGCCACAAATAACTTGAAATGATTTTATGTTTAGTTCTCAAAATATTCCTGTAGGAATCTCCCCTGGGAGTTTAGGAAATAAATAGCTTTACGTGGACCAGCTATTTATTTCCAGAACGTTTACTTATGCAATCCATGTGATTCTAAAGTGCCTCAACTTCTCGAGCTCTCTTTCAGTTCCTTTGGGGCGGGGGCGGACAATTTAAACCTAGAAACATACCCCACATATTGACAGACTGTTATTCCTAAATATTGAACTGGTCGCTCCAACTCTCTATTCATAGTGCAAGTATTAATACAGCAAGCTAGAGTGGTTTATTATTAGGTTTGAAATGCTCATATTCCCTGCAACCACAAGTTCAACTCCTGGCAAGATCAGACCTTTGACCTCCTGTTGAGGTGTGTATTACAACCTCAGATCATCCACATAAAGCCCTGAAATTAGGTCTGTCTGATCAACCTAGATTTTAAAGCTCCACAGTTCATGCTTTGTCAAAAAGGGTTACCCCAATATCTGTGCAAGCATTCCTCCACATCCCTGCTTGCTCTACAGTGTTGCGATGGCAGCTGTTTGCTGCCTTCTTCCACAAAGTTCACTAGCACTTCTAGTGGGGCTGGTTCAGTTCAGCTGGATTTTTTGTAAACAAAAATTACGGTCCTCCACCACGTGAACCTTAGCATTTCATACCAATACAATTCTCATCTAAGAGCTGATGATTTGAGACAAAACTCTTTAGTGCTGTAATCTCCACAAATGTTAGTTACAAACACTGTGAAATTCATACTGCAGCAAAACAATATTCAGTGTATTCTTACTACCTTTATTTTCTCAAAAGAAGAGTTTTTCATTGAAGATTTAACATGTTTTTTTCCTAACATTAATTTTTCAGGTAATAAAAACAAAGAAAATAAAATCTGAATAGAAACAGATACATGTCCATAAACAAGCATCCATCTTGTAACAGATCCTCAACATGCCATAAACAGTTATGTGAAGCCAATAAATCACTAGATTTATTGTTATTGAAGTAGATAGCAAGCAGCAGACCCTAAACAGCAACAAATTTAGCACACAGACGATTTGGACAGCCTGTTTTCCTATGACTACTTCATCTTAGGTTACTATTCAGCATTTTTTCATTTAGCAGCACTAATGAAACTCCTAAAAAAATGCCAGATGCATCATCTGGGGAGGTTCTGCAGCAAAGAATGCTGGGAAGTTACCAGGGCTATAAGAATTGAAGCAGGCTCTTTAGTTAGATCACCTGAAAAGGAGAGAAGTAGTGGAAGACTTCAGATGGAACTTAATAGCACTAGTAAGTTTGTTTTCTTTTGCTGATGTTGTCTTTTATTGTAGATCTTATCATTCTTAATTGTTTAAACTTTTTCTGCCATTTTTAGTTTTCTCTTCCTCCCTCCCTTTTGGGTGTCATTAAATGGTATTATTAATGCAACTGGGAGGGAAAGTGTTTCTTACAAGCATGTCTAAAGTACGGTGTAGTATTTTGCTCTTCTTGAAAGCTTTGGTTGGAAACAATCTTAAAAGCTATCTTTAAGAGCACAAAGAAAGGCTTTTAATTACTCATATAAATCATTATTTAATGAGTAAGGGGAAAGCATCAAAATGTATAGTAGTGCTGGAGGGTAGGGAGGGGATTTGGGGAGTTGTAAACTTATTATGCTGATTTCCATTTCTAGCTTATTCATATAAACTTGCGACCAGTAAGCTTCTAAGACTAAGGGAAGTTAACGTGACTGAACAGCGAGGAGAAAAAAACAGTCAGCTCAGGGCTGTTTATAGTCAGTCATGAAAGCTGGCAACATGCAGAAATGGGAGGAGAAATGGTTATTCAAAGTGGGTAATAAAGGATTTCTACTCTTTCCTCTTTCTAAGGAAGAGAAAACAAACAAACAAACAAAAAACAACCTATCTACTGAAGAAGTTCCCCTGTTTGCCATCTTGTGCTCTCTAGAAACACGAAGTGGGTGTGGCACTACTAAACTCATAGACTCTACACAGGTGCAAAACACTTCCAAGGAATGAAGAGCTGATGCCTTTCTTCTCATAGAAGTCCAGCTCACCCATACATGATCTTTTGTATAGAGGTCTCAGAACATAGGTACTGAAAATCTGTTGCTGTCTTACACAGTCAGCATGTATGAAATATCTGAATTGCCTCATGAAACCACACATTTCAGTAATTATTAGAATAATATTAGAACACTTGCTTAAGAGGGATATTCTAATTATACTTTAAAGTGTATTTATCTTAGGCTTCTCCAGGTTTAAGAAGACGAGTTCTTTTCTGTTGTTGATGCAGCTGTAAAAGTAGGGAAGTAACTCACAAAAGAGCAATCTTGACATTGCTGTAAATTTAACTGTACAAAATGTTTTAGGATCAAAGTTCAGAAGTAGTAAAACTTTCTTTGAAAAGGCAAGTGGGAGGGAATTAGAAGCTTTTTCTAAAATTGGTTGTTCATGCGAGAATAACAAAATAGCAATTAGAGTAGGACCAGAATGTCTCTGTTACTCCAGTGTGCTTTCATTTTTCCTATGCTATTTGATTTCTTTTGGTGTGCCACAGTTACTGCTGTCTTCCATAGTTTCAGTAACTGCAACCCCAAGGCTTATGCTGAGGGGAAAAAGAAAAACAATTATCGTAACGAAGTTACAGATAATAGGATTGCTTAAATTTTAGCCTATGTGGAGCTCTGTATGCAGAGGGCTGAGACAGGAATAAGTGTCTTCTAATCTCTTAAACCCTTTTAAGAATATTCATCAATATAATAGGTAAAATTCATGTGGAGAGATGCTCTTATTTTCATGTTTGCATTACACTTTGCATGACATTTTATAGTATATGAGCAATGGTGCAATTTTCTTTCTACTTTAAGACAGCAAACCTGACTTCCAGATGTCAGAGGAAGAAGATTCTATTTGGGATGTTAAAAGATCTCTAAAAAGGAAAGTGGTGAAACACAGCACTCCAGTGGACTCAGTGTTCTCAAGAAAAATGCTATCTCTTTCGGGTCCAATCAATCAGTCAATCAAGGACCAAGATCTCAGTAAGAGAGCTTATATATCCCCAGTGCCAAAATCAACTCTAGGAAGGTCAGTAGCTCAACTATCACTAGCAAGTGTTGAAGCATACTTCCCTCATATGTCTCCAAAAAGGTTTTCAGAAGTATTTGACTTGCAAGATTCCAGCAGAGAGATAAGCCATAGCTCTCAAGTTGTGTATTCTAGAAAACGACTTTCCACAGTATTGGCATCTGATGAATCAAATGCAGAGGCAAGTGAAAAGGTTGTCTCAAGTGTGGAGACTCAAACTCCCACAAAAGCATCTGAGAAGTTAGCAGTAACTCCCAAGAGTGGATCTTCATGGATGGTTTCTGGAATACCAGGAATAAAAGATCCTCCAATGTTGAAAAAGAAGAAAACTGATACAGCTATTGTGGTAATTATATTCTCCATATACTGTGAAATAGCATATAATTTTGTGCCAGTACTGTATTTGCACATCTTTCTAGTAATAGAAGAATATTGTGGTTATACAACATCTTCACAACTTTATCAATAATTCTGGAGAAGAGGAGGCTCAGGAGAGACCTCATTGCACTCTACAACCTCCTGAAGGGAGGTTGTGGTGAAATTTGGCCTCTTCTCCCAGGCAACGAGCAGGACACGAGGAAATGGCCGCAAATTGTATCAGAGAAGGTTTAGGTTAGACATAAGGAAGAATTTTTTCTCTCAGAAAGTGATCAGGCATTGGAATGGCTGCCCAGGGAGGTGGTGGAGTCGCCGTCCCCGGCAGTGTTCAAGAGGCGTCTGGATGACGTGCTGCGTGATGTGGTTTAGTGCTAGCGGTGGCAATGGTGATGAGGAGACGGTTGGACTGGATGATCTTATAGGTCATTTCCAACCTTGTGATTCTATGATTCTATGAATGTATGTCCTAGTTCATACTGATAACTTCTTAGATTCTGTGACATCATTCCAGCTAGACTAGATGTGATTTACTCATTTGGTATTTAATTTAGCTTCTGCACTTGCATGTTAATATATGAATGCTACTGCAGAAGTAGTTTGTTTTGTTGTTTGTTTTTTTTTCTCTCTGCAGGAGGAACTTAAGAATGGGAAGAGATTAGTGGCTTAACTGGAAAAATTCTTAAATTTCTTCATGTTGGAGACTTAACTGAAAATGCAGGAGAAAAACAAAAAACCAACACAATCTACTATTTGGCCTGTTTAATTGAAATCATAATGTTTTATAGAAAGAATCCTAATTATTGCTAATGTTGGTCTTGTATACAACCCTTCAGTTAGTGTAAGGTATCCTGGGAAAAGCTTAGATTAGTAGTCCTTATGCAGGTGGTCTTGTTTGATTAAAATGGAATAGAGATCTCAGCTTCCTGCAGCTTTGATTGTAAGTATGGACTTGGTGGCAAGTTCACAAAAAGGAAAATAAGGCAATGGATTTGGAGTCTAAAGACTGTTGTGCTAGTGTGCAAACCATCAGATTCTGTTTTCTTGGATTTATCTGTGGGGATTTCTTCTCCATATTGTCCACAAGTATATTGAAAGCTCAGGAAGATCTGCTCACTCTGAGTTAAAGCTTCTTAGCTTAAAACAAATAAATGTTCAGCCCAAATCTACCTGTGCTTGTTTTTAAAGCATATGAAGTCTAAACAGGTCAGACTGACTATTTCTTTTTCTATAACAGAGAAAGAAACAAAGAGAATGGGTGCTTCGCCAACTGAAAAACATCGAGGAAGCAACAAAACACGAATTAACAATTGAAGAAGTTTGATCAAACTTTTTGAAAGTAATGATGTTTCATGCTTATTTTGTGAATAGCAAATTCCAATAAAATGCACATTCGACTAATCTGCAATGCCTGTTGGACTTCCTATTAAGTCTAAGAGATGTCAGCTACTGCTTCTATGTGGAAGACAACACTAATCTGCAATAGCTAAATGCCTGGAATAAAGGAACGGAGAGAGCTGAGTAAAAATCATTCTTCATCCTGCCACAGCTGCCACTTATCACAATTGTTTGTATAGCATTCAAATCTTCTAGTGTTGTTGATGTTCTTGAAGTGACAAAGTCCTAGTGGCCACATGAATGTAATCCTGGTTTGTCAGTGGAGAATCTCCTCATCTAGAGAGTAATAAAAACATGCAATCAGAAATGTTTATTAGCTGGGGAGATGAGGAAATAGTGAGAGGCACCAGCTGGGAGTCAAATCTTTAGAGATTACTATCTGATTTGAAGACTTGGTTCCGAGTTTGCTCTGGCCTGTATTCTAAGCATGCTGCACAGTTGCCAAGTGAAGCAGTAACTATCTCAAGTATGTTTTGAAAGTATGCTGTTTTCTTTTTTTTCTTTGGTCCCTTTCTAAAGATGCTGGAGTAGATTGATGTTTTATCTTAAAGCAGCTGCCTGTGAAGCACTTGTCAAAGTAATCCCAAAAGTATAATATTTGTGTTAGTTCCTCCTGCTGCATGTAACGTAAGCTTTAGGCAGGTCACTTCTAAGTTATCAGTAGGGTGTCAGTGACAGGGACCCACAACAGATTTACCACTCGCCTGTTCTGATGTGGTTGTAGTACAGATGCTTATCTGACTCTACTAGTTTTGAAGCCAGCAATCTGTTTTTCCCCTTACTGAACTGCTCCAAAGGGGAGAGATCCTGTTCAAATTGAGTTGCAAGCTATAGACAGAGGCAAGAGAAACCATTGCTATTCCTTTACACTCACTGAAACTTGTCTCCTGTCCTAAACTATAGACAAGTAGAACGATGGTCTCTGCCAACCAATTGCAGCTGTGTTATGCACAAAAATACAAGAGCAGAGTTATTGTTTTTATGGCTTCTTTTAAGACTTAAGCAAAGTTAGGACATGTTTTACTAGTAATTCCTGACCTTAAACTCTCCAGTGTTGCTCAAGGGAGCAGCATGGTCCTCAGATGCTACTTTCTGTGGTAGCCAGGTGGAGGGCTGATACTGACTCTCAGGTTGCTAGTCAAAGCATACTCACTTGGTTTGATGTTTAATGTTCTGGCACTTACTTGTGTGTTAGATTTATGCAGATTGTCTTGGCACCACAGGCTCCTCGGGTAACTGAAACTCTCTCTGAATGTAGATCTCAAGCTGCTCTTGACGGGAAAAGAAATAGCATGGTTGAAGATGTGCTTCTATTTCCTTTGGGTTTATGTTCATCAGGGACTTTATCAGCTTCTGTGATTTGTGCAGGGGGCTGAACTAAGATCAGACAAGTGCAAAGCTAGAATAAAACCCTCCTCTACCCGTAGGACAAGCATAGATTAGTCTGGCCACATTACCCAACACTTAATCCAAGTGACCCAGATCTCTCTCTTGTTTATTTGTACCATCCCAGACAGCCAGCTGCACTTATTCTTTTCTCAGGCGTCTTGCCCTGGTCTCAGAAAATCTTGATGTTGCTGCTGCTTCTCATTCTACTAATTACATTTCAGAGTCACTCTTGCCTCCTTCCTGAACCTGTTTTCATGTCTTCAAATGCCTCCATTTAATGTCATCTTCAATCTGGCCTCTAGTGGTGCCTTCCTTATAAAACAGTCTTTTATGCCTGATTTTTTTCATTGCTGTATTCCTTTCCCATCTTCAAAGGCTCCTCTGATACTTTATGTCAGTCTTCTGCCAAAACTCAGTCTCAGCTGTCATGCCTCCGCAGTGCCTTGGTCTTAGGTTGACCTATCCATGATGGAAGTCACTGAAGGCTGTCTGAAATAAGACTCAGTCCTTATCAGGATAAGGGTGCATGCAATTGGTGAGAAAGTCTTGCTCAGTCCTTTTTTCAGGTTAGCTGAAATAAAAGTAGGATCCAGGGAATACAGATGCTAAAAAGTCTTATTCAAGGGCAACACAAAGCTTCCTAAGATTCAGGACATGGTAAATGCTGGGAATGTTTTCTTGGGAGCAAGTCTACTCGCTGCCAAGCTCATGAAACTAGTTGGTAGCAGTAAAATCCTGGAGACTTTCCTCAGTGGAGGCAAACTAATTGCCTGGAATGGTAACATAGAATTGATTTTGATTGGGTCTTCACAAGTCCTGCAGCTGTATCAGACAGGCATATAAAACTGGGGAGTTTCAAGATGTTGGAAACTGCTACTATTTCCTCTCTGCAGAATGCTTAAAAAGAATCACATGAATTTATAGCATTTATCTCAGAATAATTCCAATCCTCATCGATTTTGAAAAATCACAATATTGCTGATAGCTTTTCATGGTAAAATATGTGTAGAATTAATTCATATTTCATGGTGTTGCTGAAATACTTTTGACTCATTATCTACAGCAACAGTATTACTGTTAGTTACAGGTAAGAATACTAAGGGATTTCAATCAGGTCTATTTAGTAATAAACTACATGTTATCCGCCTTTGAATGATGTCCCCAGAGAATGCCAAAATGTTAAGGGAACTGGAACTACATATAATTGCTATTATTGTGCGGCACATGTGTGTACTGGAGGAAAAAAGAATAAAAACTAACATTTCTGTTCTTTACAAGGCTTACACTTTCACTTGTTTCTCCAGCAGACTCCCAAGTAATATAATGATACTTGGGTTAGTTTTCTACTGTGATACATGAATTTACTTTGAGAGACTCTAGTAGTGTGCTGTTTTAATCTGATTTAATGCTCATCCACCAGTAGCAACAATGATGAATTACTACTTATGTAGTGAACTGTACTAGGTGCAAAGTTCCTTTATGCATGTTTATATTGCAATATCAGCCCAGTGTACAGAAACCCTTACTGGGAGCTGCAGAGTTTAATATCACTTTAAAATAGGCCTTTTGTTAGCAGTAGATAATGAGACTGGAAAAGATTTAAGACTACAGGCACCTAATTAATGAGAAGATAACCTTCCAGATACTGTGTTTTGAAAAAATATTAGGATATTAAAAACCTGACCTTTTTTGCATGAATGGAAATGAGTCAGAGTTGTGTTATGTTCTTGAGCTCTTGTTGTGGCTTTCAAAAGTAACACTGAGCATGTTTGCAAATTTAGAACAGCCTTCCCCCTGAGAGTACTCCTTTAGATCAGTGTTTTTCCTTTAGGAACTAAGCTGTGACCTTGACCTAGGGAATTGTTTTTAGTACACTTATTTCTGAATGGATATTGCACAATCTACCTGCTGATAATGACTAAGCAGGCAGTTGGATGGAGAAGAACAAAAACACTACCAAGAACACAGGGAAGATACAAAAAATATTTTCACCCTGGATTTATGAGTTCAGCCTTGTTCCCCCTGAAGCAACAGTAATGCTCCTGTTGACAGAACTGGGAGTGCTCTACCCAGCTGGCATGCTGCTGTAGCAAAACAGGTTGAAGAAAGAAAATGTTTAGCATGCATATTTAACATATTTCAAACTTACCTGTAACTGGTAACTGAGTAAATCTTTGCTGATCCTAGCTGAACAATCTTAGGATAATGAGTAACAGTGGGAAACAGGAAAACTTTTTTCTCCAAATCACAACATACATTCATTCCTATAGTAAAAACTGAGTAATAATATTACAGCGGTGTCGCTGATCTGTACTCCATAGCATTTATAGGACACAAGTCTACAGACTTCCTCATCTCTGTCTGCCACTGCAGTCTGCAGTGCCTCTTAAAACATTTCAGATTCAGTAGAGAAAAAAAAAACAACAACAAAGTTTTGACTGAAAGCAGAATCTTAGAAGAGCTGGACCAGCTGAAGCTACTGCCTATCATCTGAAAATGTTATCAAAGAGTAGACTTAGGCCCAGATGCTGGAGCCACCTAAGATGCAGTCTTCCCCCTAGAAAACCTCAGGTCTGCTGCTCAGTTGTCATACTGCCACGCTGGGTGCCTAATTTCAACAATTTCATTGTTTCATTATTATTTTACTGCAGCCAGTTCTAACAGGTTTGCTAACCCTGCAGAACCTGGCATCAGCTCCTTGTTGCTATCATTCATTCTGGCATTATTCGTGCATGTGATCTCACAACACTTAAGCTACACCAATCATACTTGTCCACCCTGAAATAAGTACAAAGGAGATTTGTAGAAGACATCAGCCAGGGAGTACATATAACCATCTGCCTTTAGCTTCATCAGGGCTCAAGGTAAAACACTAGGAAGTATGACAAAACATTTCAAATCCCCTTCTCCTTTGAAACAGAACTTTGAAATCGAAGAGCCTGAGGTCACAAGCCAGTAATCGCCATCTCTAGGCTTACTTTGCAGTCACAGCTTTTAAGTGTCACCTTTCAAAGCTGTTCTACTTTGTCTAAGCATTTATTAGAAAAGAAGGTTAAATTTTCATCATAGTTCAGTGACTCACTGTCTTGCATCTAAGGAATGTTATTAGTTTTCTTTAAATTCATATTTATTTTTTAAAAATGAAAAGAGAAATGAGTTTAAACGTCCTTTGTTACTCCTAGGATGAAAGAAAGAAGGAAAGAAGAAAGAAGGAAACAAGAAACAAGCAACAAGAAAAGAAATACCTTATACCCTTAAGATAGAAAAACAAAGAGTCTCTTCCTAGAACCAGAATACTCAAATTTTCTGGTATGAAAAACACAACATAGATTTAGATATCAGGGAAAAAAAAGTGCAGGCAGCACTGCCAACAAATTTACTGGGAGAAGTACTGGATGTGAAAAGTTTAGAAAATGCCTAGGTAAAAGATTTCAAGGTATGTTTTCCTGTCACGAGAACCCCATACAGCATGCAACTGAATCAAACTGGCTCTTTGTTATAGTGTTCGTGCGAAGTAGACTTTAGGTGGGTGCAAGG